ATATGCTGACTCTCTGTAAACCGCTTAGAGAGGCCTGAAAGGCCTATGAAGCGGTATATAAGTCTACTGCTATTGCTATATTGCTATTGCTATCAGTAGTGCCACTGCAGGGTCTGATTCTGCACAAGCACCAGGTCTCACTTGTGTTCCAGCAGAAAATCTCATCTACTCTGCTCACATTGTGATAATTGCATCTCACGCACACACATGCTGGCATGCACACGTGTCTGACGACATGCAGCCAGCCAGCCTTTCTCCTCCCTCTCCACATCCAGTGGTGAAACATGCCTGCTGTTGTGAAGGAAGGAGCCACTCAAAAGCCAGCACCGTCTCCAGAACAACTGAAGATGTCAGATCTGGGGCACCCCAGTTCAGGTTTGAGTGTGGAGATCGAGGGGGGTGGAAATACACCAGGGCAAGAGAGACTGAAGCCTCTTTTAAGTTCAGAAATGAGACAATCAAAACCCCACATAAACGAGATGGCTGTCTATTGCAGGAAATAAGTAAAACTATTTTGGAAGCAGCTCAGGTGGAGGCACAAAGAGGGGAGGGGGTGCAACACTTTATTTTGAGCGCCCTTCTGGATCCAAGGTCTCACCTTCCCAAGGAGTTGGTGGCCTGGTCTGCCGCCCGCCCCCCCTGGAGCTGCTGCAGAGGACTTCAGCCCAGGCACCTTCCTGATGACTTAATGGGGAGGGAGGGGATGGACAGGGGAGCTTTGTATAGGCTGGAGCTTTGGAGAACATCTTTGCTTGTTTGTTAGGGACTTTGAGTCAGTGTTGACTTCTGGCAACTGCAATCCCTGGAGTTTTCTTAGGAAAATTATGGGAATGGTTTACCTTGGAACTGGGAAAGGGTCCGGCCAGGGCCCCCCAGCTGGCTTCATGCGGGACTCGAACACTGGTCTGCTGGCTTCTAGCCAGAGACTGGTTCTCAATGGGGAGAAAATGAGCCATAAATACAATCCGTCTATAGATAAAAATATACCCATCCATTTGTCTGTTTAGGTGATCTGTCTCACCTGCCATTTTGCATCAGGCTCAGTGAAGCTGTTGGGAGGAGCAGTGAAGCCTCTGGGTTAAAACTCCCCATACCTCCAATGCCTTATTCTCAGAGAAAGCGAAGGAGAGAAAACGGTTTGGTCGTGCAGAAAGACAAGAGAGATGCTGGAAGCCAAGCCCACTCCCCAGCCTTTGCTCTGTCTCCTCCCCTTCCAATGCGGGGCGGAGGGCTTGCTGTTAAGCCGTGTGCCTTCAGCAAAAGTTAGAAACCAGCTTCTTATACATGTGAACTAACCAGCTAGCATTGTGGAGGCTGTTATTACCAGCAAACCCATCCGCCCTGCTTCCTAAATCATGGAGAGCAATTAACGAAGCAATCCAAGTAACAGATTGATGAACTCCCCAACCCCCCCAAAGGGCAATGGGGAGATGATCCTGTCCCCCAGATCTCTTGTAGGCCAAGAGATCTGGCTTAACTTTAGTTGACCAAAAGTCAGCCCTGTGAAGGGGTTGGTTCAGGTCGGAGCACTTCAGCCTGCCTCTTCCTTGGTGGAGAATTCCTTTCTCCTGTGACTGAGGTTTGGTCGCAAGGATAGAGTAACCACAGAACTTGATTAGCAAGGATAGAGTAACCTACCAGATTCTTCCTTCCTTCTGACTTAATCTTAGCCTAGCAGCAGAAGAGCAGCTGGACAACCAGATCACCTGACTCTGGGCATGGAAGCTTTCATTGAGAGCATATACCAAACTGATGAATTGCACCAAGACATGAGGCTCCACCCCAATTTTCTCCATATTGATTGCTTTCCATCCCTTTGCCACAAGTGGAGAGACGTTTCTTCCGTTCATTCCAGGCTCCTTGTTTTGCCAGCCCTTCTATGGTTACAACTTCATCGCTTTGACTCTAACAGATTCACCGAGGAGTACTGTAGATTCGGCAATAGTTCAGAATCTAGAATGCTACTGGGATACTTGAATACTGGACCTCTAGAATTCTGCTAGAATACTGAAGAGCAACAAAGATAATCATCTTGAATGATTTGGGGTTTGGGGGCTGGAGAATGAAGTTTGCTCAGGGAATGTCTAGTCTTTTAAAAATATAATTTTTATTAAACATTATTACCTTTAAAAAACAGAAAAAATAATACAGCGACATAAATACAACGACATAAGCAAG